GATGGGACAGTGGTTTGGACATGTCCAGAGGTAGGATAGGGGTTTGGCCATACCCAGAGGAGGGACAGTGGTTTGGACATGTCCAGAGGTGGGACAGGGGTTTGGACATACCCAGAGGAGGGACAGTGGTTTGGACATGTCCAGAGAAGGGACACTGGTTTGAACATGTCCAGCAGTGGGACAGAGGTTTGTACATGTCCAGAGATGGGACAGTGGTTTGGACATGTCCAGAGGTAGGACAGGGGTTTGGACATACCCAGAGGAGGGACAGTGGTTTGGACATGTCCAGAGAAGGGACACTGGTTTGAACATGTCCAGAGGTGGGACAGGGGTTTGGACATACTCAGAGGAGGTACAGTGGTTTGAACATGTCCATAGGAGGGACAGTGGTTTGGACATCTCCAGAGGTGGGACAGGGGTTTGGACATGTCCAGAGATGGGACAGTGGGTATACTGGTAGAAGGATGTTAGAAATGCAGCTGCCAGTAAAAGACAAAGAGGAGATGGATGCAGTTAGAGAGGACATGGAGGTCGTTGGAGTGAGGACAGAGGGGACAGAGGATACAAAGGAGAGAGTGAGACGACTGAGGACGACTCTCTGTGGAGACCCCTGAAGAGGGAACAGCTGCAAGAACAAGTAAATGTGGATTACCGAATGCTTCTGTGAACGTTTTGCAGCTTCACTCATCTCCATATTCATGATGTCATCAGCTGTGATGGCCGAGAGGTTAAGGCGTTGGACTCGAAATCCAATGGGGTCTCCCCGCGCAGGTTCGAATCCTGCTCACAGCGATGTCTGTCCTTAATTAAGTTTAGATGATGTCACCAGAGATTTGTTCTGGTTCTATGATAAATAAAGAGGAAGATCTCTGTCACTTCATGTACTGAGGATTAACTAATGGAGACAAATCCTAATTCATCTGGTTTTGTTAGACTTCTTCACTTGAGACTTTTTTTGCCTTTAAATCAAGTGTGTTTCACTCTGAAGTGACAGAGATGTTCCTCTTTATTTAACAAAACCACAACACATCTCTGGTGACTTTATCTAAACTTAAATAAGGACAGACTCCGCTGTGAGCAGGGTTCGAACCTGCGCGGGGAGACCCCATTGGATTTCGAGTCCAACGCCTTAACCTCTCGGCCATCACAGCTGATGACATCATGAATATGGAGATGAGTTAGACTCTAAAATATTCAAGTAAGTAAAAAAATTAATCGTTAATAGAAAGAAGAGCTTCCATGACATGGAGCCACAACACCTTTATGAAGAATGCTTGTACAGTAAGTAAGAACATCAGGTCATAGTGAGCAGGGTTTGAATCTGTGCAGGAAGCCTCCATGAGCTCTTGTCTCCAACACTTTGACCACCCAACCATCACAGGTGGTTGTTGAAAATCTCATGGTGAGACATTATGGAGATGAATTAGTTTCAAAAGTACAAGACAGAGAGTACGGTTTGTAAATACTAATCCATGTTTAGTTCAGGGTGGTGGAAGGGAGGCTCTGACCGATTGTTCCTCAGATGCAGGAGGAGCGATGTGGCTTCCATCTTGGTCATGGACAACAGTGGACCAGATCTTCACCCTTGCAGAGATGCTAATGGGGTCTTGAAGGTTTGCCTCTCCAGTTTACGTGTGTTTTGTGGATCTGGAGAAAGCTTATGACCGTGTTCCTTGAGGCATTCTGTGGGGGTGCTGTGGGAGTACCTGGGTTTCTTTTAAGGACTACCCGGTCCCTGTAGAACCAAAGCAGGAGCTGTGTTTGCATTCTTGGCACAAAGTCGAGCTCGTTCTCAGTGAGAGTTAGACTCTGCCTGGGCTGTCCCTCGTCTCTGACCCTGTTTGTGTTCTTCATTGACAGGATCTCGAGGAGCAGTAGTGGAGGATGTCTGGTTTGGAAGCCTCAGGACCACAAGGGGTGCGTATGACAAATAAAGAATCTTGAATCCTTGATTTAAAGCCAAAACACCTCTGAAGTGAAGAAGTCAAACAAAACCAGATCAGGTAGGATTTATCTCCATTAGTTAATCCTCAGTACCTGAAGTGACAGAGATCTTCCTCTTTATTCAACATAAAACCCAAAACAAATCTCTGGTGACTTCATCTAAACTTACATAAGGACAGACTCCGCTGTGAGCAGGGTTCGAACCTGCGCGGGGAGACCCCATTGGATTTCGAGTCCAACGCCTTAACCTCTCGGCCATCACAGCTGATGACATCATGAATATGGAGATGAGTTAGACTCTAAAATATTCACAGAAGCATTCGGTAATCCACATTTACTTGTTCTTGCAGCTGTTCCCTCTTCAGGGGTCTCCACAGAGAGTCGTCCTCAGTCGTCTCACTCTCTCCTTTGTATCCTCTCTGTCCTCTGTCCTCACTCCAACTACCTCCATGTCCTCTCTAACTACATCCATATGTCTCCTCTTTGTCTTTTTCGTGGCAGCTGCATTTCTAACATCCTTCTACCAATATACACTCTGTCCCACCTCTGGACATGTCCAAACCACCTCGGTCCACATGTCCAGGTAACCCATGTCCACGCATGAAAGACACTAGTGCAAAATACGAAACCTGTTTGTAGTGACACAAAGAATGGACAAAGATGTACCCTGATCAGTGTAGACCCCTTCAGTCATGAAACTATAAATCGATCTGAAAACACACACGGATCAACGTCTGTCTCAATCGCTGTGAGCGGGGATTGAACCTGCGCGGGGAGACCCCTTTGGATTTCAAGTCCAACGCTTTAACCACTCGGCCATAACAGCTGCATAAACTGGGACTGATGGTGGAAATAAATCAGTGAACGAGTCAATCCAAAGAAAATATGAATATTCTGCAGGAGTTACTGTGAAAAACACACAGGAAGTACTTTATTCCATCACAAACAAGATTATTTTTCCAGTTTCAAACTCAGAGATGTGAACGTGTGTGTAAAACCTTCAGGTCTGTGCTTCTAGTTTGATGTCAGAGTTTTACAGTTGAACTCACAGACCTTCTACACTAACCCTCAGCAGAGATGGAGAGAAAAGCACGAGTCCCTCAAGAACACGTTTCCATCCTCAGGACCGTTCCTGCTGCACCCGCTCAGCTTGTTTGGGACTAAAATATGTTCCTCATAATCCCAGGATTACGTTATAGGAGAACGTCAGTCCGTCACTTAATGAGAGCTGAAGTCTTGAAACGAGCTCATCTGTAAAAATAAATAAATAAAACAGAATTGTCCTCGTGCGCTCGGGACGCTTTAAGTTTTTAAGCCTCTCTGAAGATGATTAAAGATTTTTTTTTACAGGGGCCTCGGCCAGCTGTGGGAATCATCGTGTCGGTCTGAGTCTGCAGTGAAGAACTGTGGCTCATCCAGAGGCTCTTCTGTTTGTTTTCCTTCAGCCTCGATCGTATAACCTGCTGCTCTCAGCTGCTTTGTCTCGTCCATCACCTCGAGTCGTCACTGTGCTTTTAGGCTGATCTGGCACCATTTTTGGTTTGTTTGGTTCGGTTGGGTCATTGTTTTGTCCCCTTTTCTCAGTATTTTATTTTCCACAGCTGCTCTCTGCTCCACAGTCAGGCCACGCCCACCTCACCTGTTCTCCATTCCCATTAGTCTTAGCTGGAGCCACCTTCCTCTTCAGCCCCTTTTCACTCCCTCTGTTTCCCACTACTTGCTGACATTATTTGCCTTTTCACCTCCTTCAACTGTTTCATAAAACAGACCCACAACATGGCTATGAAGCAATCATCACTGATCTAAAAGAGGCATGGAGCAGAACTCAGCTGGGTTGACGTGGAGCGCACTAAATGTGACGGACGTCTGCCGTTTATTGTCAAACGATAAATGATAAACTTAGTTTTGTGATTCTCTTCGTGGTTAAATAACTTTTAAAATGAAACACGAAGCTGCTCAGTAATAAATCAGACTTTCGTTGTCATCACACCGTTGAGCCACGGCACCGGCTTATCTTTGCACACGTCAACCATTTAGCCTCTGTTACTACTTCGCTTCACGGCACAAAGGAGCACCACAGGGTGCGTTGGCTCCGACACCCCCCCAGGCCATTCAGAAATCACACAGAGGGCCAGATAGAGACTGAAGCCCCCAGTATACTCCCGCGTATGTTCGTACGCGGAGGTATGCGCGTACCCCCGCAGGGCATGTCCGTGCAAAGCTCAATTTTTAAAACCGCGTACACGTACGCGGTGTCGCACAATAAACTGCCCGGCGACAGACTGTTTTGTATGCAACACCAATGTATTAAATTCCCCTTCTTCATCCCTGATCTGGCCTTTTCTTTTGTTTTTTTGCCAAGAGGCAGTGATCTCTTCCTCCTCCGTTGCTGCCATGACTGAAATGGTGAGAAATGGAGGAATTTGTCACGAGAGAATTATAAAGTCAGTCCCAGCGTGGCTGCGGGAGGGTCTGGAGATTGCCTGGTGGGCTGGTCTGATGTGTGGGCTGCAGGGCCAGCGCTCCCTGTTTTTTGAATTTTCTAGATCTTTTTATTAACAACATAAACACAGAACACCACTGTGGCTGTGGCTGAGGCTGCCAGCGCTCGTTTTTTTTTTTTGACCCGTCAATCAATCCAGTAGGCGTGTCAGCAAATGACCAATCGACAAACTCAATTTGTCTCGAAGGTAAACGCCCCTTATCTGTGGAGCTGACTGCAGCCGCTCAGGGTGTACGCTCGAGTATGAAGTCTGAACCCTCTGCGCACAGTACGTGTGTACGTACGCGTGTACGTACGCGTGGAAGGACCTACGCGGGAGTATACTGGGGGCTTAAGTGCTGGGCTCAGGTAAAGAGCTTCTCGTGGTTCTTCTCGGGTGTGTGTGAGTGTGTGTGTGTGAGTGTGTGTGAGTGTGTGTGTGTGAGTGTGTGTGTGTGTGAGTGTGTGCAGCTAATGAGCAGCTATTTTCGACCCTCTGCAGGACAGGATGTCGTATCTGCTGTGAATACACAGCACCGGCTGACACACATCAAATCTGTGCAGACAGAAACGGACCATTAATGAGGCCTGGAAATTCAGACAGCGCTTGTGATGTGTCACCGCTCGTGTGTGTGTGTGTGTGTGTGTTCGCCTCGGAGCGAAGCCCCGCAGGAACGACACCAATTTACAAAAGCAAAAAGGACTTGTTGCGAGCAGAGGCTGATTGCAGACGGCGTTCCAGACTCATTTTGGGTCTTTACCGGCGTCTCCACGTGAAGTGGCAGCTGCAGGAGACGAGGAGCTCTTCAAGACAAACTGCACCGCAGCTCTAACAAGCCGAAGCACCTGCTCTGTCTGCTGGAACAGCTGAACAGCTGCTTCGGCTCGTCTCACAACCATCAGGTTGATCCATCACAGCAGAACCTGTTCCACCTCCAGTTGAAGTGATCTGCAGGTACAGGTGTTCCTCCACCTCAGGTCGCTTCACAGCCAGACAAAAGTTTATGTAATAACCAGAGAATATGGACTGAACGGAACAGACTTCAAGAGCAGGAAGAATTAACGGTGATTTATTTACAGCGAAACGATTCAGCAACGAGCACGGAGGGACTGGAACCCTGGGGAGCAAGAAGGTTCAGTGTGGTGAAGATCAGCAGGTGGTGATTAATAGTGATTTCTGTCTTACAGGTGGAGTTGTGGATCAACAAGGGAGCAGGTGATCCAGTGGTTCCAGTAAGATGAAGGAAACTGCCAGAAGTAATTCTCAGGTGGACGGTGAGGAGACGGCTGAAGAAGTCACAAGGAAACTCAGAACCACACACACGAGTCCAGGAACAGGTAGGCAGCAGAAGTCGGTGCTGAGACACGCAGTAAATATTTTCACATCATAGGAACATGCAGGGTGACTAGAAGCACAGATACCAGTAGGCATGTAATGCTTCAGCGGTGAAGAGAGCTCTTCTGCAGCTCATCAAGGAGACGGTCGACAGGTTGGTGCCTCATGAGGCTGAAAACACTGAACTTTAGTAAAGAAGTCAGAGATGGTGACCACATCTCACCTCACCTCACATCTCTTACTAACGTGCACGTCGTGTTGGCAGCCACTGGCTGGACTGGTAAAACTGCTCATTTTAGAGTGGCCTTTTGTTGTGGTCAGCCTGAGGAGCACCTGCTGCCTAATGAGCGTCTTGATCTGTGAAGTGGATGGATCATCTCGGCAGAGGAGAAGTTCTCACCATCACAGACTGACGTGAACGATATTTGAGAGAGAACGGTTTATTTTCTACATAAACAAATATTTGATCTTTGAGTTCAACTCATAAAAAATGGGAACAAAATTAAAAATGTTGCGTTTATATTTTTGTTCAGTTTATGTTGGAAATAAATATAAAATCTATAATCTATAGATTTGATGGATCAGATTCGTGCATGTGAAAGAAAATTCTGTAAATGTGAGAGCCTCATGCAAATGAAAGTTGTACACAGAGAGAGGGTATTAATCTACATTTATATATATTTCAGTTAAAGCTGTGGGAGGTCAAACGTAGATTAGGAAAGTATAATAAAGCACACAGCAGGTAAAATATGTGTATGAGTAATAAACTGAATTACGCCTCAGATTAAAGTTAATCCCATGTGATGCTGTAACAAGAACAAACAGAACTCAGAACCTTCCACCCTGACGCTTCAGGTCATCCCTCAGGCCCAGCCGGTCTGTCGGGTTTCTGCAGAGTGGGACGAGGCCATGCGGCGCCGCCCCGGCATGGCCGGCGCCGTGCACTCTGTGATTAAACTGACAGGCGGGACGCCGCGTAGCGCCGAAGCCCTGCTATCCAAACTGTGAAGCGTCGGCCATAATTATCGGCTGCTGCTGCAGAGGACTCGACGTGGCAGAGAAGCTGAGACACAAACTGTAAGGAGGAGGATGCTGGGTCAGATCTCTGAAAACCTTCTGCCACCACAACCAGAACCAGTAAACATGGACTCTAATGAAACTCTCCAGGCATTCACTGGACCTGAACCGGACTCATGTTCGTTAGAGACAATCCAACTCGTCATTTCACTGCAGCACGATGGATCAGTGGTTAGCACTGTTGCCTCACAGCAAGTCTGCAGATTCCTCCAGACTCCATGTCCTGTCCCCAAGTTAAAAATGTTCTCACCCTTCAGTTGGAAGTTGTGGGGTGAAGTATTTACAAAGCCTCCAAAGTGAGACTTTATTTAAAACGTTGGGGTCCACGGCACCAGGCGCTGCCTTCAAGGACACGAGTTCCCTCTGTATTTTGTATTTCGCATGTGCCGAAGTTCAGTTCTCCCTCTGATGTATGAAAACATGGAGGCGTTCAGAAACGGCCGAATCGTTGCAGTAAACCTGAACCAGCAGGTTTACTGGGTTTAGTCTGCAGGAGTGGGAAGGAGCTGGGTCAGTGTCTAGACGCCCGGCGCTGGTTCTGTGCACAGAAATAGATGATGACCTGGTAAATCTCTGCTGACTGCAGCACCACGGCTGATCCACACAGTCTCTCCTTTAAGGTCCAGAGAAAAGGTTTATTTCACATTATCTTCATATTTTATTGTTTAACAAGAAAGAAACAGAAAGATTCAGAGAAAGCAGCTTTTACAGACAAATATGAGACTTTGTTGCAAGCAGGTGGTCATTAAATATTAATCAAACAGCAGCTTCTCTCGCAGGAGTTCAGCTGCTGCAAGATTCATCCTGGACTCGGATGAGAGGAATCGTCGAGTACAAGAAGCTTCTTCTTCTTCTTTAAATAAAGAGGAGCTCAAGACGTTCCTCAGTCCAAGTCAGGGACAAGAACTGGACCTGGGCAGGAGTCAGTCCC